CTGCCGTACCGCTGGTTCCCGTGATACATGTGGCATGCCTGTGTGCCGCTCCACTGCCGAGATGTGGCACTTCTTCTCTCGGTTCAAAGTTCACGCCAGAGTCCAAAGTCCGGTGGAGTTCCGTTATTCCCTTTCTTACACGGCACTCTTGCTCTGCCCGCCAAGTCTCCACTGTCTCATTATCCTCTCCTTGGTCTCCCAACTTTCTTGTTCTCCATCCTTAGTCTCCAAACTCTCTTGTTCTCCATCCTTGGTCTCCAAACTCTCTTGTTCTCCGTCCTTGGTCTTCTCGCCGCGCCGTTATTACGCGAATTCTGTTGAAACTCGATAGCTCTGCCTCCAGGAATTTCGTCGTGTCGTCATCTTCGCTTGCCCGTTGTACCGATAGCTTCTCCTCGAGCCATCCCTTGTGTCGATTCCTGGCCGGTATTATCACTTCGTGTCCAGCACATTTAATCTCGGTACAGACTTGTGTTAGAAAGTTCCATCCCAACACCAATGAATCCACTACCCCTGGTAGTATTAGCAGGCTCATGCTCAGTCGCTTGTTCCCGAACGCGATTTCTACCTCCAGCTGCTCATCGATTACGCCACATCTTCCGTCTCCCAACCTAACTTGCCGTCGTGTCCTCGTAATCTTTCCGAGGGCAGTCAGGTTGTCCGCCAGTTCTTTGCTTAAAAAGCTTGCTGTTGCCCCGGTGTCGATTGTGGCCTTGTATGTGCCCCACCCAATCGTCACCGCTGCAGACAACTGCTGCTCCTTCTCGATCAGCTTTCCAGTTAGTTTCGAAAGGTAGCATCTTGCGATCCCCGCTCGCCTCTCTGCGGCTGAGATCGCTGGGCATTTCCCGTCTGCTGTTGGGGTGCAGTTTTCCTTGATGATCCTTAGGGTATCTTTCGCGGAATAGTTAAGCGGCCTCACCATCGTCTGAATGTCGATCATGTAGTCTTTGAATGACTCGCTGAAGCCCTGCTTCCGTTGCCCGACCTGATCCGCCAGCCTGGAGAAGAAGTCTCTCGGCAGAAAGTAAGTGTGGAAACTATCTATGAACTCCGCCTAGGTTTTGCCATTGTTTGTTGTTGGCGATAAACCACTTCAAAGCCCTTCCCTTAAGAAATTCCGGCACCGCTCGGGGAATCATGTCTTGCGATCCTTGCATAGTCTGACTGACTAGGTATCGTGATCAGCGCTTTTATTTTCCTGTCTTGGCTTGACTCTCTCCTGTTTGCCTCTTTTTGTAAGTTGTCAACGCTCAGGCTTGCCACTAGGTTGTCCCCTTCGGCGTTCGTTAACGTGATAGCTTGGTTGTCTTTGACTCGTCACTTGTGGCCTTTGGTACTTCCGACGGTCCTGGTTGTCTCGACGAACTCTCGCCTTGTTGACTCGGTGCTCCAGTCCTGTAGCTCCCTGAAGATCCTTGCGGCTCCCTGAAGATGCTCGCTCGCTGGTCGTCCCTGACGCGTCGACTCGGAGACTGCTTGTGACGACTCGGACTCGCGAGGGGAATCAGCCGTGCGGGCTTAGGGAAGCGTCGCCGTTCTCAGACTACGGTGAACAGAAGCTGCGCTCTCCAGGATCACTCCTTTCGACACACCGCCTGTCCCTTGCTCTGTCCCGGATGGTCCCACTGGGGTTTCAGCCCGCGCGGACAGTAAAGGCTGAACGCCAGGAAGCTGCCTCGCTGCCTTCGCTTCGACTCCTAGTGTAAACGAACGTTCCACCCTAGCCTCACCCTTCTGCTTATTGTCCGGGACGTTTCCGCGTGGCTTGCTATGTCTTGCGCATTGCTCCTGGTGGTGCTGGCTGCGCGACTGGACGTAGCGTGGCTTTTGGTGCTCGGGGTTCGGGCGTACGCCGCTCCGGGACCTCGTAAGTCGAAACCGTAGGGCTCTCCTGGACAACTCCACTCGAGACCGTACCGATTGAATGCTCTCCCTTCTGGCTTGTTGTACTTGGGATTCGGACACGCCGCTCCGGGACCTCGCAAGTCGAAACCGTATGGCTCTCCTGGACAACTCCACTCGAGACCGTACCGATCGACCACTCTCCCTTCTGGCTTGCTATACTGGTTATCTTCCAGGCGTAACGCCAGGACTTTGTTGATAGGGTTAAACCGACCGCCTTGACCTAGCCGTGTGATGCCCTCTGAACCTCAGCTACCTGCGTCTCAATTCGGAGATTCCTGGTATCCCAATCCCGAATGTCTCGACGTAGCAATCTTGCTCCTCGTAAGCTCCCACGGCGCTGCTTTTCCGACGACTCGACTTGCTGTGGCTTCCTTGTAGTTTATTTGGTTGACTGACTGTTCACCTTGGTATCTGACTTGGTCTTGACGGTTTGACTCCTCGTGATCGACTGATCCAGCTGCCAGCGCTCTGCGGCCTTATATAGGGCCTCCGAGAACCGTTATTTCCCTTTTGCGCACGGCGCGCTAAATCTCTTCATTCCTGACTCCTGTTTGACCCACTTGTCCTTTACGCACAGCTTCCAACCGATGTTCTGCCCACTGCTGCCGTCTTGCTGGTTCCCGTGATGTGGCACTTCTTCTCCCGGTCCAAAGTTCACGACAGAGTCCAAAGTCCGGTGGAGTTCCGTTATCCCTTTTTTCACACGGCCCTCTTGCTCTGCCCACCAAGTCTCCACTCTCTCAATCTCCGCTCCTTGGTCTCCAAACTCCCTCATACTCCATCCTTGGTCTCCAAACTCTCTTATTTTCCATCCTTGGTCTCCAAACTCTCTTACTCTCCCACATTTGTCTCCAAACTCTCTTCTTCTCCAGCCACTCCTCGCCGCGCCATTACTACGCGAATGCGCCGCGTATCTGGTAAGCGGCTGGCCATCTGTTGCTGCTGCTGCTTAGATTTGTGGGGAGTTATTCAAATCCTCACAGCCCTAACAAGACTATAAATAGATTTCGTTGAAAATGTATTACACTAAGTTATTTAAAAACAATAAAGGAATGCCGTAGTTTGAATACCCTTGCAGTTAAAATACATACTTACCGTTTTATTAACATTTTTTGAGAGCTTCAAACGATTCAGGTATTTCAGATATATTATTGCCATTTAATTTGGTTTTTAATTGTCAAAAACAAAAATGCCTACTTCAAAACAATAAAACTATAATGATTATACCCGTTACTCGTAGAGTAAAAGGGTATACTAGATTCGTCGGAAAGTATGTAACAGGCAGAAGGAAGCGTTTCCGACCCCATAAAGTATATATATTCTTGATCAGGATCACTAGCTGAGTCTATCTAGCCATGTCCGTCTGTCCGTATGAACGCTGTGATCTCGGAAACTGTAAAAGATGCAATACTGAGATTAGGCATGCAGGTTTTAGAGATTCGCCAGTGTGCCACGCCCCCTCTAACGCCCACAAAACGCCGAAAACTGTATTGTATTGTTCTCATCAATACCTATAGAATGACCAAAAAAAAGTTTGCCACGCCCACTTTAACGCCCACAAACCGCTAACAAACTTCCAAAAATCGTAATTATGAACGCGAATATTTTGGAAACTATCAAAGATAGAGAATTATGATTTCAGATTTACATTTCGTAGCCTTGTACGCAGTGCAAGTTTATAACGCGAATATGCCACGCCCAATCTAACGCCCATAAGCCTGCTAGAAACAAATTTTAACTGAAATGTATAGGTCTCGTCAATACCTATCGATTGCCCCAGAAAAAGTTTGACTCGCCCACTTTAACGCCCACAAACCGTCCAGAAACGGCCCAAAACTGTGGCGCTGAGTAACGGGTATCTGATAGTCGAGGCACTTGACTATACCGTTTTCTCTTGTTTTGAATATGCATACGTCCGTAAAGAATAGGCTACTAAAGTGAAAGTCCTATTGGAAAAATAAAAAGTCAAGTGTAAGCTCGATCGAACCTCTTCGAGCGGCCATTTTTACTTAAGTTCGATTGGATATTCGTTTGCATTTTGTACAGCTCGTTTGATTTAATATCCAGCTAATGTACTTATAAGTTTTTGCGTGGCTCCACTTTTAAATCCGCTTCGTAATGATACAGATAATACACTCTAATTCTCAATTTATGTTTTTTCTCATTTTTCCTATTTGTATACTTTCCAAAATTAGTTAGTTACTTTTATTCCTTTTAATTATATTTTACTTAATCGAGATGATTCTTAATTTCCATTGTGTTAAGTCAAGTTTTAATCCTTACCATAGTTAAGAAAATATTAAAATGTTCTATAAAGAACCCTTTTTGACCCAGGCTAACATGTCCCTCTGCATTGGTCACCATGCGTTTAAGGGTTTTACCAGCCATAAGTAGGGAGGGCAAATCAGGCCTCGAACATCTGAGGTCTAGGAGGTTCAGGGATATTATCCGATGCAACAATTAGGTTTTTACCTAACTTTAGTAATAGCTAATAACTAGTAATGACTTTTTTTCGTAATAATGAGTATAGGCCCCTTGGGGGGCGTGGCAAGAACAACACCCTAATTGCTGGCGAGCGAGAGTCGGAACATTTTTTGTATTGCCTACGGCACCTCTCCCAAATCCAACATCTCGCCTGGATCTTGACATTCGTAGCTTTTACTACCGTCAATATTTAAGCATTATTGTTATACATGGCGCCTAACTCCAGGACGACGTAATGTAACGTAGCACACAATCACAATTCCTAATTTTTAGCCAGATTTCCTTTCAAAACTCATTTTACCTTAGGAAAAATCAAGAAGACATAGCTTGATTTAGCCACGACTGTAGATTGATCTCAGACCACCTTCAAACATCGTTCGAAGTTCGATCAGGAGAGAGAAATGGCAAATAGAGCACGATTCCCTTTGCGTATGCACATTTTTTCTAGAATATTAACTGTACTTTTTTGAATTCCCTTTTGTGTCTCAAACATCGAAACAGCTCATGTATATACATACAACATGTCGGTTGACCGCATGCATTTTTTAGTCTTAGGAATCCTTCTCAACAAGCCACTGGAGTGGAAAACATTTTTTTTGTAAAGCTCAACAAAATCAGGAATTACAGTGATTTATAACGTTTTGATCCGAGCTCTGGTTGTGTTTTCATATTTGGTTGGACGAGTCGGCACATTTGCCCCGATCATAAAGCCCTCTGCCGCTACGGATGGCAATTCACCATGGCCGCATCACAAATCTTTTACGCAGTCTTGGGTTCGTTATGGTACGCAGCCGAGAGCCAGCACATTTTGGTGCCTCCTGTGAGGGACTTTGTGATCGAATTGGACTGTTGCGAGTTTACGTTGGAGTCAAGTTCAGTAAATACGGACCTCAGGTTAATGCAATTTTATTATATTCGTGTGTAATAAAGGTTAAGCAAAATGGCGGAGCAGCTTAAAGCAGAGCAGGTGGCGTTGCTGGAGGCAGTAAAATCAAAGCTACAAAATTTTAATAAAGATGTTACTGCACGCTCTGCAACGCACCTGGAGACCAGGTTGGACTCCCTTCAAACTATGCATGCGGAATATCGTGAAAATCGTCGTGTATTAATTCAAACAATCAACAATGATAAAATTAAGGCAGATTATATTGTCAAAAATATAACGGAACTGTTTGAGGAAGTCTATATAGATTTGATGGCTGACATCAAGACCAAAGTGCAAGGTAAAATTTTAGATTCTACAATGATGGGTGGTGAAGGGAGTTTAAATATCACAGTTGCTGATGTCAAGCTGCCTACTGTTAAATTGCCTATTTTTACTAGCCCTTATTTAAAGAAGTTTCCCATCTAGAGTCCATAATTGGGAAAAATTAACAAATTTACATCGGTTTCATTATATATTCCCTTTCAGAAGAAGCCCCCAAAGACATACAACATTTGACTTTGGTGAAATCAAATTACGCAACTGTATGGAAAATGTTAGTAAATCTGTACGACAACAAGCGAGTCTTATTTCAGCATTATATGGATATGTTTGACCATCAGGCTGTAGTTCAGCAAGGTGACATAGGAGTTCAAACGTGTCCGACCTGTGTTAATAATTTGGAGAAGGTTGGCGTAGACGTCAACGGGAAAATTATGGAGTGCTGCTGCCAACAGCAGTATTTACGGTGGACTCTGCTGAAGAGACACCGCTTAATCTTCGACCTTTCCCAACCCCACGGAGTCGATTAGAAGCAATGGTGTGGAACTTTCCAATAAGCTGGCCTTACAGATATCATCTAACGTTATCAACAAGTTCGAAGAAGGTCGCTTAAGGGAAAATTATGGAGTGCTGCTGCCAACATCAGAAGTTTCGATGGACTCTGCTGAAGGGTCACCGCTTAATCTTCGAGCTTTCCTGGATCAAGGGTCACAAGCCTCGTTCATCACGGAAAATTCTGTACAGTTATTGGGTCTTCAACGAAGGAAGGTCCATATCAAAGTAAACGGCTTGGCAAGAGTCACTGAGACGTCGGCTGAGGTATCCTTGGAATTGGGGTCACGGTTTGATTCTAAAACAAGGAAGAACGCTATAGTCGAGTACCTCGACTATCAGATACCCGTTACTCAGCTAAATAGAGATATGCAAGTAGCAAAGCGAGATTAAAATGCGCCACCTACCGGCGGTATACAGATTTAAGCGTTATGGGCGTTAGAGTGTACTTACGATTTTTTGAAGTTTGTGGGCGGTGTATGGGCGTTAGGGTGGGCGTGGCAAACTTTTTTTTGGGTCAATCGATAGGTATTAATGAGAACATTACATTTCAGTTAAAATTTTTATTCTAGCATCAAAAATGTATGAGCCACAGTTTTGGGCGGTTTGTGGGCGTTAGAGTGGGCGTGGCACTCTACTGAAACAAACTTGCGCTGCGTAAGAAGCTCAGGAATCTGCGCGCCAAATCTCAATAGCCTAGCTCCCATAGTTTCCGAGATCTCAGCGTTCATCCGGACAGACAGACGGACAGACGGACAGACGGACATGGCTAGATCGACTCGGTTAGTGATCCTGATCAAGAATATATATACTTTATGGGGTCGGAAACGCTTCCTTCTGCCTGTTACATACTTTCCGACGAATCTAGTATACCCTTTTACTCTACGAGTAACGGGTATAACAAGGAAGAACGATATAGTCGAGTACCTCGACTATCAGATACCAGTTACTCAGCTAAATGGAGATATGCAAGCAGCAAAGCGAGATTAAAATGCGCCACCTAAGCGTTATGGGCGTTAGAGTGGGCGTGGCAAATTTTTTTTGGATCAATCGATAGGTATTGACGAGACCAATACATTATAGCAAAAAATTTTATTTAGCTTGAAAATTGTGGGCGTCACAGGCTTGTGCGGTTTGTGGGCGTTAAAGTGGGCGTGGTAAACTTTTTTTAGGTCAATCGATAGGTATTGATGAGAACAATACGTTTCAGTTAAAATTTTTATTCTAGTATCAAAACTGTAGGAGCCACAGTTTTGGGCGGTTTGTGGGCGTTAGAGAGGGCGTGACACTGTGCTGAAACAAACTTGCGCTGCGTAAGAAGCTCAGGAATCTGCACGCCAAATCTCATAGTTTCCGAGATCTCGGCGTTCATCCGGACAGGCAGACAGACGGACATGGCTAGATCGACTCGGCTAGTGATCCTGATTAAGAATATATATACTTTATGGGGTCGGATACGCTTCCTTCTGCCTGTTACATACTTTCCGACGAATCTAGTATACTCTTTTACTCTGCGAGTAACGGGTATAATGAAGGAAGAGCTGAGGGCAATCCCTCGCTAAATATTTACAACCGCAAAATAATTGAAGGAAGAGCTGAGGGCCATGACTCGCTAAAACAACAAAGAAGGACGACCCCAGCAGGATCATCAATGGAAAACAGAAGACATCCTATGAAACCCAGAAAGAAAAGAAGACACTTAGTGGGCGTATACTGTTTTCTTAAAATTTTTTTTATAAGTACTATAAGCCAAAAAATTTAAATAAAATCAATCAAGATGGAACCCCTAATTAACGATTTTGAAAGAATTCTCACCATGCCCCTACCCCAACATGCAATGGATTCAAGCTAATAACCCAGTGAGCGATTTAATTGCACATATTTTCAATAATGAGTTGAATCTTTTAAGGAATGAGATCGTGAGTCTAAAAGCACAATTAAATTAAAATGTTAAAAAAGTAGAAGATTTTCAAGTAGCAGTCATTGACCCAAATATTAAATGTGAAACTTTCTTTTGAAATTATGAAATCAGTCAAGGAATTTAAAGGAGAAGAAGACAAATATGTGAGTTGGAGAGAATCGGCAGAAATAGCCATGGGGCAGTATGCTAGAGGTAGCGAAAGATTCTTTTCTGCATTTTCAATCTTGAGAAACAAAACAGCTGGTAAAGCAAACAGTGCCCTAACACATAATGGAACAGTACTAAATTTTGACGCCATAATGGCAAGGTTGGACTTTGTTTTTAGCGACAAACGTCCAATTAATATAGTTGAACAAGACTTAGGAGTGCTAAGTCAAGGGAAACTGTCCATAATGGAATATTATGGGTTAGTTTATAAAAAACCAACTCTTCTAATAAATGAAACCATTATGAGTTACGGCAGAAATAAATGAGATGAATGAAAAACACAAAGAGACAGCTCTAAGAGTATGCAAGTTATATGACACATTATTTAGGGGCTCTTACCCAATTTATAAACAACTTTGAGCCGAGAGCTAATTTCCAAAGAACTCTGACAGACCCGAGATAAATCCGTGGTCAGCTATTTCTGCCAAGCAGGCCTCCAAATCATTCCCACCCAGATCAATTTCACGCAGTCCGAATCAAACGGATGCTGTAAACATCCAAACCGATACTGTAAACAATCGGAGACCCAAGCGAGCCCTGAGTCCGCTAACGTAAACAAAAGATCCCCAAAGCGAGTCCCGAGTCCGCTAACGTAAACAAAAAGATCCCCAAAGCGGTCCCTAAACTCCGCTAATGTAAACACCAATTTCCGGCCAAGATTGGACTTCGAATTTAATTGGCAAATTGCATCATCCTATTTTCCGACTCTCTTGAGTCATTCTCTTTATCAATTTTTGGGGATAAAATCTCTTAAGCCGAGGTTTGATTATTGATCATTGAACTAGAGAGCAGGCAGTCCGTTTTTGAGATCCGAATCGAGCAGAACAAATATTCGAGAATAAATACAAGAGCAGTGAATTAAATAAGTTCGACCTATTGTAAAATTGTAATAGTGAATAAGTGATTGTAAAAAATAAAAATAAATTTTTTTAATCAATTCACTAGTGAGAAACTTAATTGGCGCCCAACGTGGGGCCGTGTGATTAAAAAAATTCTAAAGCAAAGCTTTTAAATAAACCCCAAAAAAGTTTAAAAGTGAAAAAGGAATTTTGCGCGGCCAACAACCCGATACAACCGACGAAAATATAAAGCCTGTGTTGAAAAAAATAATAAGGTGGAAATTAATAAATGCAATAATCCCCTTAAACTCTATACAACCGGCAAAAAAATAAAAAGTTTGTGTTGATCAAAAAATAATAAGGTGGAAAATAATTAATGGAATAATCCCCTTAAAATCTCACATTACAAAATAGTGTTCGTAACATAAATTCACTGCTCGGACAAAATAAAAAATTTAAAAAGTGACAACAAAATTCATCGAAATAAATAACCATTGTGGAAAACAATTTAATTAAAAAAATATCTAAAAACAAAAATCTACAAACAAATCTTCGAAAAGACATTTAAAGACAAAAAGGCTGAAGGGCAATCCCTCGCCAAGAAATAAACACTGAAGAAAGAAGGAAGACATCAATTTAAAAACCCGAAGAAGGAAGGAAGACCCCAAGATACAAAAAAAGGAAGGACGACCCCAAGCAGTATCATCATCTAAGAAAAACAACAACCCCAAAAAACAACGACTAGAAAAATAAGGAGGACGATTCGTGAGCGATATAATCCTTTTTTTTTTTTATTATTATTATTATTTAATAAGAAATTTGTAAAAAAAAATATAATTATACAAAGTGGAAGAATTCATTTCTGATTTCGAAAATATTCTCAAAATGTCAGAACCTTCAACAAGCCAGAACGGAGCAAATAAAAGACTCCACATAAGTTCGCCTCAAGAACATCATCAGGCGATAACAAACAATACCATGTTAAATGTAGGAGATTTAATTAAACAAATTGTAAATTTTGAATTGAATCCATTAAAGGAAGAGATCGTTAATTTAAGATCGCAGCTTTCTCATAAAATTAAAACGGTTGAAGATTATCAGATAGAGATTATAGATCCAAATATAAAGTGCGACACATCTTATGAGATCATCAAATCTGTTAGGGAATATAAAGGAGAAGAAGATAAATATGTAAGCTGGAGAGAATCGGCTGAAATAGCCATGGGGCAATATGCCAGAGGGAGTGAAAGATTTTATTCCGCCCTATCAATATTAAGAAACAAAATAACGGGAATGGCAAACGATGCCTTAACCCATAACGGAACGGTATTAAATTTCGATGCCATAATGGCCAGACTTGACTTTGTCTTTAGCGACAAACGTCCTATTCATATTATTGAACAGGAACTAAGTGTTTTGAGTCAGGGAAAATTATCAATTATGGATTATTATGGTACAGTTAATAGAAAGTTAACTCTACTTATTAATAAAACAATTATGACCTACGGGAGAAACAAACCGATAACAGCAGAAATGAATGAAAAACATAGGAAGACTGCTCTTAGAGTTTTCATTACCGGCCTAAACGGCCAAATTTCAGACACAATTTTCTCAATGAATCCACCTGACCTACCGAATGCAATGGTCATAGTTCAGGAATTGGAAAGCAACAACATGAGGGCGCATTTCGCAAACAGTTTCTCAACCACTCAGAGAAAAAATAGTGAGCCAAACTCTGGTGGAAATGGACAAACACATTTCAACCAAAAGCAAAGACAACAAAACAACAATTACAATAAACAGCGAAATAGTAATAATTTAAGGTTTAATCATGACAACAACCAGAACAAAAATAATTATGGTTATTATAATCAGAACAAAAATAATTCCTGGAACCAGGGTAGATTTAATAATAACCAACAAAATCAGTGGAACACCTATAGGCAGCCACAAAATAAGCCAGAACCAATGGAGGTAGACGAATCTATACAGGTTCAGAATAGGGCTAACAACGGCTATAATCAAAACTATAATAAATATCAAAATAATAATTATAGCCAAAACAAGTGGGATCAAACAAAAAAGTTTGATACCCAGAATACTCAGCAAGGACAAGCCCAAAATAAAAGGGTACCAACGGGAACTGTTAACCAACCGGCTAACAAGACAATGAGACTAAACAACATTGAGGAGAACCATTTTTTAGACAAAAGTCAGGAGTAGGCTTACCCTACTTATTTAGAAATGACCCGAAAATAAATAAAAAATTAAAAATATTAATTGACACTGGGGCAACCTCGTGTTATATTAGAACTGGAGTTTACAAAAATAAGAATGAGCTTCCAATATACAAAAAAGTATCCACAGTGAATGGATATTCAATAA